ATTTCCCCACTACCCTCTCCCCACCCCATCCTCCTCGAAGAAATGTCCTAGATCAGGGACTTTAGCTCGTGCATGGCTGTGCCTCAAGGCATGGGGATGAGCCAGTTCACAGAAAGTGCTCGAAATTATTCTGTTTTTCAGGAGCATTGAGACCATTCAGTGGGGCAAAACATCGCATGCCCTACAGACGCTGAGCCAACAGGACACCCCTCTGCAGAAGAAGCTGAACCCTCATCTCATGACGTGGTCAAAGGCTAATCAAAACGGACTCCTGACCCAGATGTAAGAGCTGAGATGATAATAAAACCCTTAGTAGAAACAGGAGTGAGTCCTCATCACATTGGGTCAACCAGTGGTTTCTTGGAACACAAACTAAAATATACTCCATCAAGATAAAAACATTCTGGTTTTAATCCCAGCACTCAGAAGGCAAATGTAGGTGGATCTCAGTGAGTTCCAGGACAGCCTGGTCTACATAGTGAGTTCCAGGACAGCTAGAGCTAAATAGTGAGACACAGTCTCAAAACAAAACAAAATAAAAAACAAACAACAACAAGAAGAAAAAACAAAAATACAAAACTTTGTCTTAAAAGAAATACCATCAAAAAGTAAAAAGGAATTTAAGAATGGAAGACATAATTGCAAACTACATATCTCCTGAGAATTCTTTGTTACATTAAAACAAACTCAAAACAATTCAATAAAAGACAAATAACCAGCCAGGTGGTGGTGGCAAGAATCTTTAATCCCAGGACTCGGGAGGCTGGGATTCAAGCGAATCATTGTGAGCTCAAGGCCAGCCTGGGCTACAAAGTGAGTTCCAGGAAAGGCTCCAAAGCTACACAGAGAAACAAACAAACAAAAAAGACAGTACAGCTGGGTGTGGTGGTGGCTCTGAGGGTTCATCTCAACTGTCAACTTGACTGGGTTTAAAATCACCTAGGAGACACACCTTTGGGTGTTCCAGAGAGGTGTAGCTGAAAAGGAAGGCCCCCTCCCCGACTGAGGACTATGCCATGAGCTGGGTTCCCACACTAAATAAACAGAGAAATTGAACTGAGCACCGGGATTTGTCTTTCTGCTTCCTGGCTGTGGAAACAATGTGAGCAGCTGCCTCACACCTGCCTCACACCTGCCTCACACCTGCCTCACACCTGCCTCACACCTGCCTCACACCTGCCTCACACCTGCCTCACACCTGCCCCACACCTGCCCCACACCTGCCCCACACCTGCCTCACACCTGCCTCACACCTGCCTCACACCTGCCTCACACCTGCCTCACACCTGCCTCACACCTGCCTCATGCCCCTGCCTCACGCCCTCTCAACCATGGTGGACTGTGCCGTCAAACATGAGTCTTCCTCTTGCTTGTCACAAAATGAGAAAAGTAACTAATACAGTGGCACAGGCCTGTGGAGGGTAGGTGGAGGCAGGGGCATTGTGAGCTCAAGACACTGTCTCAGTAATTAAGTAAATACACACATCCATGCATATGACGAACCTAACACAGACAGGTACACGATTTTATTCGACACCTTCTCAAAGCAGATACACAAACGACTGATAAGCATTGCCATATTTTCCTCTCTGTTGCTGTGATAAAACACCCCGCCCTAAAGCAACTTAGACAAAGGGCTTGTTTGACTCACACTTCTGGGTTACAGTCCATCACTGAGGGACGTCAGAGCAGGAACTTGAGGCAGAAATCCCGGAGGAATGCTGCTTGCAGCTCACTCGTGCTCAGCCAGCTCTCTGAGATAGCCCAGGACCACCTGCCCCGGGAATGATGCCGCCCACAGTGAGAGTGGGCTGGGATCTACATCAGTTAACAATCAAAGTGAGCCCTCACAGACATGCCCACAGGCCAGTCTGATCTGGGCAGTCCCTCAGTGGGCACACCCTTCTCAGATGACGCTCAGCTATGTCAAGGTTACAGTTAAAACTAGCTGGGACAGCACATAAAATGTTCAACATTCCGGCTAAAGAGATGACTCAAAGGTTAAGTACTTGTCTTGCTCTTCCAGAGGACCAGAGTCCAGTTCCCAGCACCCAAGTCAAGCAGCTCACAACCACTGCTAGCCTCTGTAGTCACCTGAACTCATGCCTGTTTGTGTGTGCCCCCCCTCCACACACACACACAATGATGATGAAGAAAAAAAAAGAAGAAGAAAGAGGAGGAAAAGAAGTATAATTTTCTTTTTTAAAAAATGGTAGCTGTGAAAAACACCCAGGGGGCAGTGTCTGGGCCCATTTGCTTCTCAAATCTCCATGTTCCTCAGACTTGTGTGGCTGTGACAAGCTGCTGAGAAAAACTCTATCAGGGAAGAAAGGTTTGGGTTGGCTCCTGGCTGCGGAGGCTTCAGACTGAGGTCACTTGGCCTCCTGGCTGTGGCCTGTACTGAGGCAGAGCCTCATGGTGGAGCGTGTGTTCAGGACAAAAGTGATTAGCTGACGGGCACGGGAAGAGGGGAGGGCTTTGGAACAAGCATGCCTTTCCAGAGCAGTGGCCTCGGCCCCTGTTCTACGGCTGTGAGGAGACACCATGACCAAGGCAACTCCTACAAAAGAAAACATGTAACTGGGGGATGCTTACGGTTTCAGAGGCTTAGTCCATTATCATTATGGTGGGGAGATTGGCATCAGAGCAGGCATGTGGCTGAGACCTACATCCCGATCCTGCAGGCCGAAAGAGAGACACTGGGCTTTGCACGGGTTTTTGAAACCTCAAAGCCCCCTCTCCCCCGCCACCCCCCCCCAGACACACTTTCTCTAACAAGGCCACAGCTGCTAATCCTTCCAAATAGTGCCAGTCCCCGGGGACTAAGCATTCGAATATATGAGCCTATGTGAGGCGCTCTTCAAACCGCCATACCCCCACCTCCCATGTCTACCCAATGGTGTCACCAAGGAAAGAATCTACCGAGGACTGACCCGCTGAGTCAGACCCTCAGCATCCAGCTGCTTCCCTGAAGCTCCGTCTCTGAACACAGGCGCTTTGAGAGCCAAGCCTCCAGCTCCCCAACCTTGGTGGGAAACACTTCACACACAAACCACAAAGTCCTGCCCGAGCCCTCAAAGGCGCCTGTCCATCTCATATCACAAAGGACATTTAATCCGTCGTCAAGAAGCCCCAGAGGCTTAACGGCTCTGATATCGTTCAAATGGGGAATTCAAAGTGTCCTCTGAGACTCAAGGCAAATTCTTAGCTGGGTCAAATACAAGGGCATGGAGCAGTAACCTTCCCAGCCCGAAACAGGGGAGCAGGCCATTCAAAGGAAGGCAGAGGACAACCAAAACCCGGCAGGGCAAATGGGAGATCCTGGTGCTCCTCGGCTGGCATACGGGCCTGTGCGGCATGATCTCCAACAGGCTTGGGCAGCCCTGTCCCTGTGGCTCTGTCCCTCCGCTCTTATTACTTTCATGACGTCACCCCCTCCCACATTCCTGTTGGGACTTGATGCCAGGTGCAGGGGGAGATGTGGCCTTTGGGGGGCCCTTAAATCCCAATCTCGAGGACACCATCTTGGCCAGTGTGATAGCATCCACAGTGAAGGGCTTGACAATGGATGGCCAAAAGCTCGAGATCCCCGTCCCTTCCACCTTGAGAAGACACGGTATCCCTCCCCTTGGTGTTGGGAGCAGAGAGCAATCCCACCAGGCATCCATCCCGCGGATGAGAAACAAAATTCTGTGCTTTGTAGATTAGATCTGCAGCATGTGGACCTCCTCCTGGGCTGGCTCTGCACACTGCTTGTGGTGTTCCTCCGCAGGCATTCCATGTACTCAGCATCTCCAACACCCTGGGGTTTCCAGTGACGTTCAGGCTTTGCCCTCACCAGCTATGGGCGCAGTTGTGGAGGGCCTCTCTACCCTGCTTCCCCAGACCTTTCCAAACTCCCCCTGTAAACTCGTTCCAAGGGGCACCACCAGCACGCTCCCACTAACACTCTTGGTCCCCAGTCTCTGTGTTGGCCAGACTTTCATTGCAGTGACACACACCAAAGAGGAAGAGTCTCAGGGAGGAGGGCTTTCGTTTGGCCCCATCTCAGTGGGAACATAGTGAGGCGGAGACAGCAGAGATGAGCATCTCATGGTAGCTAGGGAGAAGAGCGGAGATGCCGAGGGGCCCCGGACAATATATATCTCTGCACACCATGTCTACAGTGGCTAGCTCTTCAAGTCGGGTCCTACTTGCTAATTTCCACTGCATTCCAGCAGTGTCAACAAAGTCTGAAGCCATCAGTAGACTGATCCAGTGGTGAGGACAGAGGCCTCACGATCCAATCGCTTTCCTGAGGCCTCACGACTCTGACCCCACTGCACTGGGGACCAAGCCTTCAACTGATTAGTTTCTTGGGAGACCTTTTATAGCAGGGCCTTTGAAACCACAGCTCATCTGACCTACAAAAGCACAGAATTTTGTTTCTCATCCGCGGGATGGATGCCTGGTGAGATTGCTCTCTGCCCCCAACACCAAGGGGAGGAATGCCGTGTCTTCTCAAGGTGGAAGGGACGGAGATCTTGAGCTTTTGGCCATCCATTGTCAAGCCCTTCACTGGGGATGCTATCACACTGGCAAAGATGGTTGGGATTTAATGCCCCCCCCCAAGGCCAATCTCCACTGCTCTTGGCATCAAATCTCAACAGGAATGTGGGAGGGGGTGATGTCATGAACTAACAAGAGTGGAGGGAAGTCACACCCACATATTACTAGTAACAATGCGTGTGGTGTAGCCCGGGAAAACAGAGCAGTCTTTCCGCAAACTGTTAGACGTGTAGTCAGTCACAGTCGGGCACCTGGAGGTATATACCCAAGAGAACTGAGGATGTCCTCCTCCACGTAGACGCCTCTACTCAGACACTCACAGCAGCGTTAGCCTCAAAAGTTTACAAAGCAGAAGTAACCCACACACACCCCACCAAGTGGGTGAACATGGGGTGTGCCTTTTCAATTGAATAACCTTCACCGGTGGCAAAGAGTGAACTTATGGAGAGGAGGTGGAAAGATCGTGAAAGTCAGAGGACCAGGCAAACAGTGCCTTCTGGGCATGACGGGACCACTGTACCCATGAACTCACATCAGCTGTGGTTGCCTGCACAAGATCTGTAAAAGAGCAAGTTAGTCAAGTAAGTTGACCATACTCTATTGAGTGGCCCCACACCTAGGAGTATATGGTCAGCACATGCCAGACTCGGTTATAGAAGGAAAAGGCATGAAGTTGGGAGGGGGGGACAGAGGGACAGGAGAATTCAGAAGGAGTCAAGGGAGAAGAATAGGGGGTGAATGTGATCAAAACGTATTGTATGCATGTATGAACTTCACAAAGAATCAATAAAAATATTCTATTTTAGTTTTAAAAGGAACAAAGTGTTGGAGAGATGGCTCAGCCATTGAAGGCTGAAGCTTACAACCAATTGTATTTTTAACAGAACTTTACAAACAGAACTTTATATACAACTTTATTGCGTATAAATTCTCTTAACATGGTGGTTAAAATATATATATATAAAATTAATATATAATATATTATTATATAATATATAATATAATATTAATATATATATATATATATATATATATATATATATATATATATATATATATATATATATATATAAAATTGCCAGTGGGCATGGCTCCACGGCAGAATGCTTGTGTATCCAGGTTTTTGTTTGGGTTTTTACTATTATTATTTTGTGTGTTATGGGTGCTTTGCCTGCATGTATCTGTGATCATAAGTGTGCAGTGCTAGCTGTGACCAGAAGAGGGTGCCAGATCCCCCAGAACTAGAAGATCAGCCAATCCTCTTACGCACTGAGGCAAGCCTCTAGCCCCAGGACCTTGAGATTTTATCTCCAGGCCCCATTTCCTGTCCCCTTCCTGCTTCCTGTGTGAAGATACAGTGTGACTGGCCACCTGTTTTTGCCACAGCCGTCCCTGCTGGGACTGATGCCTTCCCTCCAACCAGGAGCCAGCATACACGCTTGCTCCCTGACCTCGTTAGCTTTCTATTGCTGTTGATAAAACGCTGACCAAAAGCAACTTAGGTTTATTTCTCATCTTACATCCATCGCCGAAGGAAGCCAGGGCAGGACCTGAAGCAGGGACCTTGGAAGAGTGCTGCTTGCCGGTTTTCTCCCCACGAGGCGTTCAGCTGACTTTCTTGCACAACCCAGAACCACCAGCCCAGGGGATGACACCACCCACAGTGAGCTGGGTACCACGCACATCAACCACTAATCAAAAAGATGACCCACAGACACACTCACAAGCCAATCTGATGGGGGCATTTTCTCAATTGAGGTTCCTTTTGCCCAGGTGACTCTAGTTTGTGTCAAGTAGGAAAACAAAACAAAACAAACAACAACAACAAAAAAAACCTGACCAACCTACTCCATTAAGTTGCATTTTGTCAAGCCATTTTTATCACAGAAACAGGAAAAGTGATGAATACATTCAGCATTTGAAAAATGTTTTGCTCAGGACTATAATTCAAGGTTAACTTGGCCCATGTGCATGTTGGAGCCAACATGTGTTTTTTTTTCTGCCCCACCTCAGCTCCAGCACCTACACTCCCCCGGGGTATCACATGGCCCAGAAGAAGGCACTAGGCGGCAGTGTTCGGGCAAGACCACAGCACCAACAGCAGGCAGTACCCCAGAGTTCCTGGGCTAGGTTACTGCTCGCCCGCACATCTCCAAGCCAGGATGCTTGCACTCAACGATGGAAACAGCTTAGGAAACGGCCCACAACCGACGTAAAATTACCAGATTGTAGCCCACCCTAGAAAATCAGTCAAGGCTTGACCCTCCATCACCCTTCTGTTTTGTGAGCTGTCTGGTTCCTGCCTTGGCCAGCGCTGGCTCCCGTCTGCTTGCTTGCTGGAGCCCCAATTAAAGCGCATTGCTTGTCTTGTTCACAGCATTTGGCTTCGTCTTGTGTCTATTGTTTCCATGCCAAAAGATTCTGTCTCTGCCCACCCCGATCCCACCGCCAGATCTCAATAACGGCCACAGGAAGCAGATAGAAAACAATTGCGGACGCACAAGATGCACGATGCACCGTCAGCACGCTGGGCCTAATTGGAGCATGAGAAACGTACACACGGCTGCAGACTGCTCATTAGCTTTAGACACACGTGGAACCTTTTCAAAATCTGGCCAGATTTTTGGCCGTAAAAGAACTCTTAATAAACTTCAAAGGGTCGATGTCACGTGTAAGAGCCCGGTGCAAGGTAATTAAAGTTCAAAAATCAGGGGAAGATAACTATGAATAAAAAATGCTCCTTTCAATAATCTACAGGTCACAGAAAGAAACACCATGCGAATGAGAAGATATTTTGTCTCCTGTGAAAATAGAAGCAGGAATTTCCAAACATATGGGAGGCAGGCAGTGCCGGGAGCACTCGAGCCGTGAATATTAAGAAATAACCAAGGCTGAAAATTAATGGCCTAAGCATCCAGTTCACACACCTAAGAGAACTAAAAGAAGAAAAATACCAGAGGAAATCAAATAATAAAGATAAGCCCAGGAATTAATGAAATAGGGGGCAGAGGGATGTAATAAATTAATGAAATTAGAGATTAATTCTCTGAAAAGACTTGGGGGGATGAGCGTTAACTTGTCTGAGCTCGTTTCCCTGGAGACCAGTCTCTCAGCATGGGAGCTGGCCTCGTGCACGCCTCAGTGACAGCCAGATGGAACCCAGGGCCTGAGACAAGGCTTCCCAGCAGCTGTAAGGCTGGAAGCCAGGCCTTGCCTGGCACCTGGCAGGTGCTCACACAAGAACACTGCAGAATCAGGCCCTTGGCCAGGACAGAGAAGAACCACAGTATCCCAACATCACAGCATCCTAAGCCCAACAGTCCTGAGTGCAGGGTCCCTTCCTGACTCTAGATGCCCAGTCAGGCTAGACCTTTGTGAGCAGTAGACTGCTGTCACATGGATAGCTGCTCCCTCTTGGAATTCCCCTTTGTGCTTATGACTCAAGGAAGTACATTCTGTATCATGGTCATCCGTCACCCTGGCTTGCACGACCTGATCATGGATAAACCTCTGGAGAAATTGATCACAGGGAGAGAGGAGAGAGGGAGAGAATATGAGCAGAAACCAAATTGGAATGGGAGGGCCAATGCTGTGAACCCTGAACGTACTGCAAAGTCAGAGAGATTTGACGCTAGGCTGAGCAACTCGGTCTTCAAGGAAACCCAGAGCCTCATCCCTGGGGACCATGAGTGTTACAGGACAGAATACATTGCAGGAAACTGAGCCTCTGGAGGTGAGATGACCTGAACCGTCTGTGACCTGTGATGTCATCACAAGGATCCTTACAGCAGATAAGTGGAGAGAATTTAGCAGAAGAAGAGGATGTGATGGGGGGGGGGGGTCAGTAGAATATTTTAAGGTGTGTTACTTTTGTTTATTTTGCATTTGTTTAACTCTGTGAAGTTTACTGTGCCTGTCTAAAACACCTGTTGATCTAATAAAGAACTGGCCAATAGCAAGGCAGGAGAAAGGATAGACAGGGCTGGCAGGCAGAGAGAATATATAGAGGGAGAAATCTGGAAAGAGAGATCTAGAAGGAGCCAGAGAAGAGGAGGACATCAGGGGCCAGCCACCCAGCTCCACAACCAGCAAGCCACAGAGTAAGAGTAAGATTTACGCCGGGCGGTGGTGGCACACGCCTTTAATCCCAGCACTCGGGAGGCAGAGGCAGGCGAATCTCTGTGAGTTCGAGGCCAGCCTGGACTACCAAG